TCTGGGCGGGTGCTGGTGCCCTGTGGCCGTCTGGGACATCCAAAATCTAGGGAGAAAAGAAACCCCTGTCACTCATTAAGAGGTTTAACAGCAGTTAAGCTCCTTGGGGTGCTGGATCCGGGCAGAGCCTCTGCCTCAGGGAGCCTTTTGCAACCCGGAGGACACGAGCCCTTCCGTAGCCTGTAACAGGCTTCAGCCCATGAGGTGCTGGGGAGCAGCGCTCCCACACCTGCGCAGCACGGAGTAGCCTCGACCGCCCAAGGGTCTTACAGCTGACGACGAGGCGTCGTCTCTCCTGAGATTGCTGCTGGCTGGTCCCTCGCAGCACCAGCAAGTTTTAAGGGGGAAGCCAGCAGCCACTTGACCCCATTTAGACAGTTCCCTGCCTAGAATGAACTAAAACCGGACACAGAGACCATCCCCATGGCCAAGAAACAGATACGGGCAGTGTCTTCAGGGAATAGGATTTCCCAGACCGCCCAGAAGTTTCAGGTTGATCCTGTGACCTTCACTTACCCGCAGAAGCTCTTCGTCTCCCTGCTCCTTCACAAACACTTCCTCCAGTTCCTGGTTTAGCCCTTCCAGGCTCCTATGCAAGCAGGGGCTGAGCCTCAAAACGGGAGATGGAGAAAGGAAGCCTGAAGGAAAGTCCTGTAACGATCCGGAATGGAGAAAGTTATAATGGTATCTGCACAAGCTCAGCAGTTACACCCCGTTTCCACAGGGCTCAGCCAAGACTTCCAGGAGGTCAACAGGAGAAGGCTGACAGAGTCCTGTAGGATCATGGAACGATTTGGGTTGGAAGGGACCTTAAAGATCATCTATTTCCACACCCCCCTGCCATGGGGGGTGGGTTGTAAACTCGCTGACCGCAGGTCAAAGCGCAGAGACATGGTGCAGAGGTGGGAGGAGAAACACATCTCCCTTCTCAGGCACGAGAGCAGAAGTCCGAGAACAGCTCGGACACCCGCCCAAAGGGGTTTGCTCTTCTCTTCACTAGGTCACGCTGTGAGAGCGGAGCAGGGGGAGAGGCAAACGTACCCGGAGCGATCCAAGGACAGCGTGGTCCCCTTGGAGTGGGGAGCTCTTCTCCTTTTCTTTGCCACTTCTGCCGTTTAGCTTTGTTCGCTGGAGCTGTTGCTTCAGTTTGGCGATCTAGCAAACAGAGTTTCAGCTGCAGAACCAGACAAGCCAACACACCACCCGAAAGGATCGGGCCTGGTCTCCCATCTCCCTCCTCCTCTGCCTTCCAACCCACAAGGAAGTGCCAAAATAGACCGTTTCAACCGCACAAGCGGCGGCTCCAGCCACCTCTCAGAGGCTGGACCAAAGGCCTCCTCCCAGACTCCCCGGTCCCTCTCTCAGGAGGATCTGGGTCACCTCCTACCCCCGGAGTCAGACACTAGGCCCCACCAGCACCCACATACGCCACGACACCGAGGAGCAACACACTGAGTTTCAGCAGAGCTACTTTACAACAGCTGCCTGCTAGAGGAAGCCAGGATCAGTCTCCAGTTGAATCACAGGAAGTTAGGGATGGGAACAAGGGCTGAGGATCTTAAGGGATATGGATCTTCAACCACATCCCGTCTTCCCACTCCCCTCCTACGCGTTCGCACCCAACACGGATCGTGCTCGGGCGTGGGAGCGGTCCGCTTTACCTCTCTGCGGTGATCTGCGCTACCCCAAGACGCAGAACGCTTGTGAGCGCCGGAGCCGGCTTTCCCCACTTCCGCATCGTGCCACGACACTGGAGTCTGAAGTGATGAGAAACATGGCTGAGAATAATCACAACGTGGACCGGTTTGCAACTGGTGAGCCCAAGAGCAAGTGATCCACTACTGCCCATGCAGCTGTTCCTGTGTCCCCCCGTTCACACAGCAGCCAGTAACGTGCGTTAGGAGACGCCCTGTCTATTTATATTTGCCAAAACAAAGTCATTTTGGCCAGATCTGTGCGCATGGGAAACCGGACCTCACAGACCTACACAGCAACAGACCTGCCCAGGAGTCAGGGGCTTTAATCACCGCAAATACCTGCTGAGATAAAGCCAACCAAACCATTCCTCCGGAGAAACAGCCGTAACCCGCCCCTCACGCCGCCCGCACAGGCTCCCGTCCGACGAAGGGTGACGTAGGGTTTCAGGCACTCGTCGTACGAAGCAGCGTTACCAAGAGGAAAAGCCTCACCCAACTGCCAGAACACACAACTTCGCTTCTGAGACCTCAGGCTCCCGTATCGCAGTTCAAAGGCGTCACCAAAAACCACAGCTCGGCCTGCAGACTGACTGCTGCCGGGGCGCGGGAGGCACCCCCCTGCCTCTCCGGCTTGTGTCCCCCCCCGCGGCAGGGCTGGCAGTTCTCAGCTGACTCTCCTCATGCAGAAAAAACCGCCTCGGCACATCCCACAGCTGTTTTCCAAGCAACAGCTACATGTTGAATATCAATGGAAATCAGAAAGGACTGTTAATCGGATCAGCAGAGGGTGTGAACTTCCTTCCACTGAACTCAGCCCTCTCCAGGATCGGAACAGTCCCAAGGCACAACGTTTTTAAGACCAGCCATCATTTTTTCCTCATTTCAGTGCCTCACAGCGCTCACCCCGTGTCCCTGCTGCCTGCCGTTTCTGTGGGAGGCTTTGGATACTTCCCTCCTCAGTGACGGGCTGCCAGAAGGTGCAAGGGCCTGAGAACAGTTAGTTCCTCCCCGAGCAGCTTCGCTGATCTCCCCAGAGGCTGCTGCAAGAGCAGCAGCTGTTTAAAGGGCTCTGTTGAGTCACAGGGATGGCAGAAGCTTTTTCCCTCAAAACAGGTTTTTAAATCTGCTTAAAGCAGAGGACCGAGGCAGGTAATCTGGAGAGGGCACAGGTTTCCCGTCTGTAAGGGATACAGGTGACTCCCAGGCAGAAATCCAACCCTCTCCTGAGGTAACAGGCTCTGAACGAAACCCCTCTTACACACGCTGTGTGCAGAGCCCACTGCGTTCCTACAGCTGGAACGACCTGCTGCCCAGGTCTCTGCAACACCTGTGGGTGATGGAAATCGAGGCACAGGAGTTGTTCTAGTGGATTTAGTGTTCAGTTCGGCTCAGAGACGAAATCTGGCCAGCCTGAGCCACTGCCCCGAGGTCCTGCTAAGCTCAGAGCTGTTGGTCACCGCCATCCCCATGCCAGAACGAGCCGAGGAACAGACCAGGGCAATTGGAAATCCCACGCCAGAGACCAGTTTCGGCACATGGCACATCTGATCTCATTTCCTACCTCGACTATTCTCTCCTAAACAACTCCAGCATCATCGTTTGGCCATTATCCCAAAACATTGGGTCATTTTATATCCCAGCAGATCACACACACAAGCCAGCTAAGAGGAGGCAAAGGTCTAAGAGACAAGACCGCAGCCCTGTCCCACGTTCCTGCAAGAAGCAAGTCTGTGGGAAGCTGAACTCCAGCTGCAACGAACAGCCCTGCTTTCCAGGGCCAGAGACTCTCCTCACGTCCCTGGGAGCCTCCTGAGCCCCGTTTGAGCAGCCCCTTATCGCAGCCTCTTGCCGCGATAGCCGGAGGACCGCACCGGCGCTCACAGGAGGGCCTAAAAAGGAAGAAGAGACACTGTTTGCAATAGGAAGGGCCGATAGTGAAGGGCGCAATCGCGTCTCACCTCTGGCAGGCAGAGGGAAGTTACAGAACCTTTCGTCCTAACCGTGGCAAAACCGCTTCCTCCAAAAAAGGAGGCAACAACAACAAGCGCTTTGCGCAGCGAGACAAAGCCACAAGCGCCGATGGTGTACGGCGCTGCCACCCTCACGCTCTCGCTCAACCACCTTACGATAGCGAGCCTCCAG